TTCGGCCCGGATAGGCCGCTACGTGATTTGTTGTGAATTGTGAACTGAGATTTAATTTAAATTGATCTTATTGGTGAAAATTGTGGATTTTGAATAATATATGGGAAATAGGCCACCTAGTATAATTAGGCGGACTTGAATTAGATTGACTGTTTGAATCACCAATAGGATATGGTTAGGAAATTGGCCATTGCGGGGCGTCGTCGCACCCCCGATGGTCTTGGGTTAAAAACGTACGTACGGAAGTCCGCGACCTGTCCTGGCATCGCAGGGACAGGGGCTTCAACCCGCCCAAAGTGAATCTCCTTTGGGTTTCTGAGCTGGCCCTTTTATAGCATCGCTTGGGGTGCCATGACTCAAAGTAGTTGATGTGGAATAAAGTAAGGACATGATGTTCAAATGGAAGGTGTTAATATAAATATGTTTATTTAAGCTATTTTTCTTCGTGATCACATGCTGTTGTTGATTGTGTGTTAATGTGGTGCTATTCTGTGAGTTAATGCGGGCTTAGGTATATTTTCACTCAGCGTTTCGCTGAGCGTGTAGTCGTTGTTGTTTGACTGCACGCAGGTAGGAACACAGATTCAGATGGGCAACCCGGAGGGCAGTGAAGTGTTGGTGTGGCGTGGATGGCTCTTGTTACTTTAATAAGTAAACTACGGAGTACATTATTTTATTTGATTATATGAACTGTTGGACGTTACCTTGATTTTCTTATGCTTTCGCGACGTTTGGATTTATTTAATTATTCTGATGAATTTGGGTCTAGTTAAAACTCTACGGACGAATTTTATAATTGATTTAATTGTTAGTTTAGAAAAGAAAAGTTATGCATGCGAATATCAACTTAGTGACAACCCGGTTCGCTAACCCGTTGGTTCGGGTTACGCGTGTTGGGGTGTTACAACTATTCTTGGTGTTAAGGAGCATGTGTTTACTGGAAGGTATGGTATTAGAGGTATTTTGTCCCTTACAGAGTTCATTTATTTAGGGTTCTGACTTTTACACTTGTGCATCTTCTCAGTGTTTCTTCTTTAGCATCCTTCATGTCTAATCAGGAATCTAGCTTTGTGACTCTTAGCCAACGTGTTCTAGCAAATCCTTTGAAGTGAGTTCACGTTAATCGTGAATATTTGTTGTTCCATGGCATTTACAGAGTAATCATGAAACTATGAAAGAAAAGTCTGTCTAACTTGTATTTGAAATGATCATCAGGGTTCGCATGCATTATGGTCATCCAGATGTCTTTGATAGACTATTCCATATAACTAGGGGTGGTATCAGCAAAGCATCTCGCGTCATAAATATTAGTGAAGATATTTTTTCTGGTATATTTACTTCACATTTAAGGGGATTTTGTTTCATAATTTAATGTTATTGTGTTTAATTTTAATCTTATGGGTGTAGAGTTTGGGAAATATACTATATTAACTGCGTGTTAATCCTTACTATATGTTCTATATTTATATGCATGGCCTATAGTTAACATTTGTTGAGTTTATTTAAAACATTCCTAGTCAAATTGAGCATATAAGTTACAGTTTACAAGATACATAGACAATGTTTGCTACCAAAAAAAACCATTTCGTATGTCTCAGAAAGACTTAAAACCCTGGATATCTCTTCCAATTAATCTATCGATTTTATGAAGAATGATGCACTTAGGCATAATCTATTACATATTTACATGGTGAGAAAAGATAGCCATTCTTTCAACTTTAGATTTGTCCTTTCCATGACATACAAGATGCTACTACCTAAGTTATCAGACGACATACAAGCTGGAAATTTACAGCTTGAGTTGCCTTCCTCCACCTCTAGACTCTGCGCTTGCCACTACGACGCCACATGGAATTCCTTGTGGCGCTTGGAGGAATTCCTAGCTTTGAGATGCTGCGGCCTGTCTAATCCGGAACCCATACGTTGGAGTATATTTTGCCATGGAGTAGATCTTCTAAAACTATTAAGTTGAAAGAAAGAGAAAAAAAATGAAGGGAGAAAAAGAATAATGGAAGAAGAAGATGGCAAGTACAAATCTGATGGAAGAAGAAGAATCGACAGGGAAGAATGAAGAAAGAATGAAAATGTGATGGCTGTTGGCGGATAAATCTAGAGTTAGAGTGGAGTAATGAGGGAAAAGAATGAAAAAGGGTAAATAAGGTATTTTACACAATGATTTGCCCAATAAGGAAATGGAAAGAAAACTTTAAAATGTTCCAGAAAGGAATGTGAGGAAAATTTATGGACAGAGGGAGTTATAATTAATGAAACCCTAGACTCATAACATCCATGTACCTTTAATAATCCTCAACAATTGTGGCAATGTATTATAAGCATGAAGTGGATTCGACACAAGTTCATAGCGGATCAAATCAGCTTATGCGCGTAGGTTTGTAATGTAACGACAGGTTGTAATGCCTTTTCTTTATATCAACTAAAATGCAGGATTCAATTCAACTTTGTGCCAGGACAATGTTACTCACCACGAATACCTCCAGGTTACTAAATTCTCTCTCGCTGGTATGTGGAGGTCGTATTTCATGATACTTATCAGCTAATGATATCACTAATGATGTTGTATAGGTTGGCAAGGGACGAGATGTTGGACTCAATCAGATTGCTTTGTTTGAGGGGAAAGTTGCAGGTGGTAACAGGGAACATGTCCTTAGTAGAGATGTCTACAACATAGTTATCAAGGCGTCGCCTAGGCGACGCTTAGGCGTTTGGGCGAGGTCATATGGACGCCTAACTGCTCGCCTAGCCTTTTTTGTGCAAACACCGGAGAAGATGACTGGAAGAAGCTGAGAGAGGAAGGAGGAGAAGAAGATCTGAAGAAGACGAAAGAGAGAGAGAGAGAGAGACTGAGGAAGATCGAGCTTACCTTACTTGCCGACGCTGATTCATTGTCGCGACTGCCGAGATAACCAGCGGCTCCTCTAAACCCTCCGACTCTCTGACTCTCCAATTAGTTATTTTAGGTTAACTAATTTGGGTTGAGTTTATTAAAAGAGAAGTGTGCTTTTACACTTATTAATATAGTTGTTTATTAAAAGAGCATTGGGCCTAAATATTATTTCACTTTTAAAAAGTTTAGAAAGATCAAAATATTTACTTATTTTGCTGAATATATTTTTAAATTTTATTTTTTTTGAAAAACAACATTCATTCATATAATTTAGAATATACTCTTTATTTTTTTGGGTTTATATGTTCTCTTTAATTACTTATTTCATATTATATGCTTTTATATTAATACCTATAAAATATTAAAGTTGTCATAGCCACTCGCCTAGAGGACGCCTAGGCGGACGCCTAATCGCTTAGGCGATTAGAAGGTACCCGAGCGCCTAGACTCGCCTAGTCGCCTTAACAACTATGGTCTACAGGCTTGGTCAGCTTTTTGATTTCTTTAGAATGCTATCGTTCTACTTCACAACTATGGGATACTACTTTTGTACCATGGTACACAGTTCTTTCCAATGGAATACATGTAAGGAGCAGCTAAAACACCCCATTACTTTCTAAATACACCCAACTCCTGCTCAAACTCGCAGAACACAACGAAGGCACTTGACCAACACTACCTTAGCATCTGTTTGGCGAGTGTTCTTTGGACACTCATTGACTTCCAACTTCAGTGATTACTAGAACCACATCTGACCATATCCGGGAGCAGGAAGTAAAGAAAACGGGGCATGAGGCTGGTTACATGAATAGTGGAAGTGTGTTCTTGGTCCTTTGGGATGTAGGAACAAGAAGCTCTGATACCAAATGTTATATCTACGCTCCGGGTGTTTTGATAATAAGCTTGAAGTTGAGGAGCAAAGTCTCTTTAATTTGCCAGAGGGGTTATAGTCGATTGTCCAGAAGGGATAATTGATTATTGGAGGGTTCGGTTTCTTGAGAGATTTTGGCAGATTTTTTAGAAAGGGGTAATAGTCGATTTACAAGATGGTGTAAATCGATTATTGATGGGTGCAGATCTTTCACGTGAGATGATAATCGATTTAGCCAAGGGCGACAATCAATTATAGGCAGTTTTGGTGAGGAATGGCTGGGAAAATATGGGGGATGATGAGGGAGTTCTTTTGGGTATTTTAATGGAAGAAAAGAGTAAGATTAAGAGGAGAAATGGGGAGGTATGAAATGGAAGAAAATCAGGGGTGGATAAACCAAGTTGGTGCTTAAAAGATATTACACACTCTTATCCTAACTTGGGGTTTGAATCTAGAATTTAATTAAGATATGACACACTTAATCAAATATCTAGAACCTCAAACTTACACTTAAGATAACCACTCTTAATATATAAAATTAGGAATTTGGCTAAAATAGCATCACACTATTTTATAAATACTCAAAGAGTAAAAGGGGGTTTTGATATTCAAAGTTGTTTCTTACAATGGCCATATGGCCGGATTATATGGGCAGGGGAAGGGGGAAGGAAAACACAATACATTGAATGTAGACATAAGGAAACTTCCTGGAAACAACTATTTCAAAAACATGGGATAATACCCATTTATTCTTGTCTCCTTAATGGAAAGAAATCAAAGATGTGTGCCTGGGATTGTGGAGTTGCTTAGCATGTGAATGAAAGCCAATTTTATTAATGAATGGCTGGATTATTTTGCCAAAGGGGAAAGGATTGTGCAGAAGGGAGCTGGTGTTTTGGAGGTTTCTTGTGGGTAGTTTTATGGGGGAATAAGGGAAGGTTTGATTGGTGTAATGGTGGGTCATTATGTCTTGGATTATAGTGGCTGTTTGTGTATCCAAGTTGATGGACATAATGGGGAACAAGGATTGGATTATGGCATGGGTTTTGGGCAGGGATTTTTGGCCAGGAGTGAAGGGGAGAGGGGGAGAAATAATGTAGTTTTTGGGCTGGTTATTATTGAATGATGTTATTAAACCCAGGAGTTTCAGGGATGGCAGATAGTCGATTATCAATAACTGATCATCGATTATTTGGGCTTGCTGTTGATGCCCCGGAAAATCAAGAGGGTGCACTAGTCGATTTTCAGTGTTCAACAATCGATTGTTATTCTCAGGATAGCAATACGGATAGAGGGTGATGGGGGTATGCAGGTGATGGACAAGTGGAATTATGGGAACAAAGATGGAGTTATTTTTGTGCTGATTTTTTTGGATATTTTGGGACTTGGTTTTTTGGTGAGGGTGGTTCAATTTTAGATGTGAAATGGGGGCTCCAAGGGGTTATGGCTGGGCCTTGTAGTTCAAGGCTGGTTTCCACCCAAAAAGGAGCAAAGTCATTAGTCATGGCTTCCTTTGTTTGCTTGAACATTTGAACTATGTCTCGCAGCTTGGATGCAGTGACCCCGGATATAACATCCTCCCCTTCTTCGGAAGAGTTTGCCCTCAAACTCGAGTTTTCTTTAGGCTTTTCATCGGGGCTGGAGTTGAACTTGCTTACATCACAATCTCCAATCATACCCTGTCCTGGTTATTGAGTAATGAAAATCTAAGAATTCTTCTTTGGGAACTTAACGTTAGTAATCGCCCTTCCTTGTATTCCTTCATGATTTCCCTACAAATTAAACACAAAGATATTGGCACCAAAGGGCGTTAGTGATAACAAAATTTCTTGGTTGCCATTTTGGGGTGAGGGATCAGGTGTGTCATTCTTGCGAGGGCACAAGGGCATATTTACCTCAACCCATGGTTCATAAGTCAACCTTTTGATCTTTGAAGGGGTTTGCTTGGCAAAAATGGAGAGTACGTGTTATATCCGGGCATGCCCAACCCAAACTCTTGAACGTGCCACAAGTGTTCCAACAAATAAGAGGATTCTTGATTAAGTGTTATAATCAGTATTGGGTTGATTTCAATCATTTGTTCCATTCAGGAATGCCACCCAACACCCTTATTGTTTTTGTACCCCCTTGGCCACCCCAACCATGTCCAAACCCACCCTAAACATCCAAAACACCTTGCTCTTTATTTCCTTTCAAAAATAAAGTCTTCCTACACTTATTTCCACCCCATGGCTGAAAATATTTAGAAGACGAACCATAAACCTTTTGTTTATTGTTATTTCCTTCTTTTCAGCCTTTTAATAAAAGATGCACCTTGCTCTTGATCCTTTCCTGCCTTGGCTGACCAGCCAAAACCCCTCCCCAAACCCATGCCATAACCCCATTATTGCTTCCCATTATGTCCATCAACTTGAATACACAAACAACCACTATGATCGAAAACATAATGGCCCACCATCCCACCAATTAAACCTCACTTTGTTCCCCATAAAATGGCCTCAAGAAGCTCCCAAAAAAACCATCCATTTCCTGCACAACCCGTTCCCCCTTGGCCCAAATATTCCCCTCCAAATCACCAAAGGAGATGCCATTCATTCCCCCCCTGATGTACCTTCACTAAAGACCCTACAACACACCCCCCATCTTTGATTTTCCCCAACCCAAAGGACAAGAATGAGTGACTCTTGTGTTTCCTTTGATTTGTGTGAATAAGAGACCTTAGAGTCTCCTTTATGTATCTATATAAACTCAGGCTCTATGGCCATTGTAGAACATCTTTTGAATATTAAAACTCCTTTTACTCTTTGAGTATTTATAAAATAGTGTGATGCTATTTTAGCCAAATTCCTAATTCTATATCGTAAGAGTGGTTATCTTAAGTGTGGGTTTTAGGTTCTAGATATTTGATTAAGTGTGTCATATCTTAATTAAATTCTAGATTCAAACCTCAAGTTAGGATAAGAGTGTGAAAGATATGTTTTAAGAGATGATTAACGAAAATAAGTAAAGAAAGAAGAAAAAAAGTTGACTTGTAAGTAATCAAGTGAAATGATTATTTCAAGGCGGAGGAAGTACTATAAATAATTGGCATTTCCAATCTACAACTCAAAATGAATCCAATTTTTTAAATTACATTAGAAAAATATTTAAGTTTTCCTCAAATCAGAACAAAAATTTGTAATATTGGACCCAAAAAGTCAAACTTAAATTCCCATGATCTAGGAAAGAAAAAAAAGAAAACCAAAGAGATAAGGGTATGAAGAAAACCAATAAATAAAACAATAATTTAGAAACAAAGATGCACAAAGTCTGAAACTCTAGTTTTCTGACTTTTTACAACTTCTTTGTATGCTTTTTCTAGTTTCAAAAAAATACATCAGAAAAATAAAAAATTAAAATACGATACAAGAATTTTCTAGTTAGAACCACCCACCATCTCACGCTACAAAAACATCAAACACAAATTCTCCAACCACTTTTCTATTGTTGATATTTTCTAGTTGAAAAAAAACCAAAGGAGCAAGAGGGATAAAAAGGGAAGGAATGAAAATGGTATTAATATACCCCTCTAAGTGGTACACTTCACTATACAATAAAAAAATACTTTTCCACATTATTTCTTGGTGTGAATGAGAGTACAAGAGCATATATGAAGTGGTGAATTGAGAAAGGTCAATTCCCCAACAACTTTGTGGTACACAATCTAATGGTACATGGTCATGTAAACCCATTATTATGAGGAGGTGTGGATCATGCCATTGGAACAACAACATTTCTCCGTCACGCTGCTTTACTCCCTCCCCTCCCTAAAAAACTTCTACATGAAACCAATTAATAAAAAAACAACAGCATCGAAAAAAACCAAATGATTCTTTTCAGCTTTATAACCACACACTATCTCTCACCGCAGAAATGTAAACCTTTTTACATACTCTCTTACAAGGGATATATGAAGTGATCATCAAAACAGTCTTGCTAGAGACATGAAACCATTAGTGAGTTAATATAGATTCCAATAATAACCACAATAGTACCTCATGTTGACATGAAGAACATCACAGCGGACAATATCATAAAGATCTTGCATGGCATTAACAGCACCACTTTCCTGTTTCAGAGAATGTTCTTCCTTCTACAAAATAGAATTTCATGTCCAAATTACATCATTTATCTCAAAAACAAAAGTTAAAATTTTATATGCACATATGTGGCGCACACACAAAAGAAAATACAATACAACCTCAACCATGATTAGACAGTAAACAAAATTGTGAAGGATAGAAAGAACCATATAAAAACCCTTTTAGAAGTTAAAAGGAAAAGACAACAGCTGAGTGTGCAAAATAACATATCAGCTCGTCATAGATTGACGAAAACAATGGACAATTAATTAAACATCAGCTATATCTTTTTTTACCATGCATTATCTTAAAATCCAAGTGGGAGAACTAAAAATGTCATGCTTGAGACACATAGCAGACTCCATTTTTCATAGAACATGCAACCATTTCACTCAAGGTAAAGAAAGTATATGTCCTATAGTTTAGGTGTTTTATTTAACCAACCTTTTCGCATATTACTTATTCTTACCTTAATCAAACCACATATCAGAACATAAAAAATCATATGAGACCAAATAAAAAACATTAGACATGACCATAGCAAGCATTAATATTTCTTATAAGAATATTAGACAATACAAAAAACATTCAGATTAGAGCAAATCAAGTCAGACTAGACAAGAAAAATTCAAACAGATCTTAAAGTATTCAATCAAATCACATTTTAGAGGCAAAGAGAACAAGTGCTTTGTTTCACTCAATTTAGGTTGAGAATATCTTTATGAAAGAACTTGTATTAGCCTTAGAGCTGGCAAATCAGCTGGTTAGGTCGGGTTTGGGTTCGACCATTTCTGATTTGAATTATATCAGGTTTGGGTAAGTTTGGATTCGGGTTAAGAACTACATATTCATGACCCAATGTCATCGGGTTCGAGTCGACCCAACGGGTAATTAGATTTATTTTAAAAGTTTTTAAATCCATACTTGCATTTTGCATTAAAAAACAATAAAATATCAAAATACATATATTTAACGTCTTAGAATATTTATTTTGAATTTTTAATTCATTTTTAGATATGTTTAACAATGTAATGAATAGTAAAAAATAAAAAATGCATCACTTTTGAAAAAATATAAGATAACTATGTGAAAACTTGTGTCAAAATATACACTAAAAATGTGTAATAAGAATAAAAATAAAAAACTTAATCTTATTTTTATTACATTATTTTCCATATTACTCCGTAAAATATATTATTTTGTAAAATTATTAAATTAGCGGGTCGGTTAGGTCGGGTTTGGGTTTGGTCAAGTTTGACCCATTTTTAGCAGGTCATTTCGAGTCTTGTCATCAAAACCTTTGTTCAAAACCCAATATTTTCGGGTTGGGTCAGTTTTTATTAGGCCTAATTAGCCTTTAGCCTCTAGAAATGTCAAATTGTAAGTCAGAAGTTTATATAAATGAAAAGTAGCATTGTCATTCAATACACCCTCTAGGGTACTAGAGTCTAATCCAAAAATAGCCAAGAAGGCCAATCCGTCTCAATGAACAGTAACCATGTGTTGTGCACCTTTGTTGTGCAATCTCTTATATTCTTACCAATAGAGGCTCATCATTTCCTTAGCATTGCCATTCTTTGGTAAAATTCCAATTACCACAACTTCGAGAAGCTTACTCCAATTGCAAGCATACTAGAAAATCTACTCATATTTTCATTAATTTTCATTAAAAAAATGAAATTGATGTCGTGAACAATATCTGTAATTAAGCATTTGACACTATCTTTAAATGTTATCATCAACACCAACCGATATGTTATATCCACCACAATGAAGAAAAGAAGATTAATAATGAAGAAACAGAAGGATGGGGTTCAACTGTATACACTGATGTGATTGACACATAAGTTAAAGCTACAAGTACATGTTAAAGTTCATATCAGAATGAGCAAAGTCATGAAAGGTAAAATTGGGTTTTGAATCCCTCCATTTGATAGTCGATTATCTTAAAGGGGTAATCGATTATTACTACCTGCGGATGTTTCCAATGGAACTGATAATCGATTGTGGGGAATGATAATCGATTATTTGACAGTGATTCTGGACAGGAAGAAGGGCGTTTTTGTGGGGAATGGGTTGGAAATATATGGGGATGATGAAGGAGTTATTTTGGGTGTTTTTAGTGGAAGAAAAGAGTAAGGTTAAGAGGAGAAATGGGGAGTTAAGAAATGGAAGAAAATCAGGGATGGATAAACCAAGTTGGTGTTTAAGAGATATTACACACTCTTATCCTAACTTGGGGTTTGAATCTAGAATTTAATTAAGATATGACACACCTAATCAAATATCTAGAACCTAAAACTCACACTTAAGATAACCACTCTTAAGATATAGAATTAGGAATTTGGCTAAAATAGCATCACACTACTTTAAATATACTCAAAGAGTAAAATGTTTTAATATTCAAAGTTGTGTTACATTTGGCCATAGGGCCTGAGTTATATAGGCAGGGGTAAATAATACACAATGCAATGAATGTGAACAAGAGGAAGCTTCCTAGCAACATCCTCTCTCAAAGCATGGGGCATTCTTCATTCAAACCTGTCTCCTGAGTGGGATAAAATCAGGGATGGGGCTGGGGGTTGTGGGGTTTTGGGTTTTAGGTTTGTAGTGGTTGTTTTCCTGGATTTTGTGGGTATTATTTGGGTAAGAATGGAGGGTTGTTTTTGGTCATTAAAGGGGGGCAGGGATGGGGAATATAATGGGTGGTTTTGGACTTATAGGTTTGGGTTATTTGTGAGGGAACATGGGCAGGAATGAGTGGCAAGTGGTGGGTCAGGGTTTTGGCTCTTTGTGGGTGTTTATGTTGGGATTGTNATATAAAAAGGAAATAAAATACTTTTGGATGTTTGGGGTTGGGTTGGACGGAATGAGGATTGGCCAGCGGAACCCCGAGGTCAAAAACGAAAGTTATTTGGCCTTTCGGGTCAAAGGACTTCGAATTCTTACTAAAATGGATCATAATGTTTGACCCTAAGTCCTTTGGTTCCTATGAGGGTGTGGGACATGGGGGAGGGTATGATAGGGCCAAGCCCGGATATAACATGTTTCAAGGGTGCGGTTGGTGACTTCGGTTTGGCCATCGGTTTGTGGGTGGCTCGACGTACTAAACTTGAGTTTAGTTCCCAACTTTCTCCATAGGGTCATCCAAAAATGGCCAAGGAATTTTGTGTCCTTATCTGAGACCATGCTTCGGGGAACGCCATGGAGTTTCACTATCTCTCGGAAATAGAGGTCAGCCACGTTGGAAGCATCATAGGTGGTGAGGCATGGTACAAAGTGGGCTATCTTTGAAAACCGATCCACGACGACCATGATGGAGTCTTTGCCTCGTTGTGTCTTTGGCAGCCCGGTGATGAAGTCCAAGCTGATAACTTCCCATGGAGAAAAGGGTACGGGTAAGGGCAAATGCTTTCCCTGGGGCAGCGACTGACTTTTGGAGAGGTGGCACGTGTTGCAACGCTTCATGATCGGAATGTAAGATGAACTCCTTGCTCACAAGGTAATGGCGCCAATGCTCAAGTGACCGCACCAATGCGTAAAACTCCTTGTCATACATGGAATACCTCCTTCTCGTGTCGTTTAGCTTTTCGCTAAAGTACGACACCGGGTGCCCTTCTTGGGATAGGACAGCCCCTATTCCAACTCCCGAGGCATCACACTCGACCTCGAATAGTTTGTCAAAACTAGGAAAGGCTAACACGGGGGCATGTGTTAATCGATCCTTGATTGTTTCAAAGGCTTGTTGGGCCTTGGAGTTCCACTCGAACTTCTGATTTTTCGTCAAATCCGTGATTGGTGCCGTGATGGTGCCAAAATCCGTCACAAATCTCCGGTAGAAAGAGGCCAAGCCATGAAAACTTCGTACTTATTACATAGTGGTGGGGGTCGGCCACTCTCCAATGGCTTGTGTCTTCTTTTCGTCCACCCGTATGCCTTCACTTGGAATAAAGTATCCCAAGAACTCTGTTTCATGCGAAAAGAATTGGCTCTTTTCGAGGTTGCCGTAGAGTTTCTCCTCGTCCAACTTCTTAATCACCAAAGCGAGGTGATTAGCATGATCTTCTTCATTTTTGCTATAAATCAGAATGTGGTCAAAGTAGACAACGACAAAATGACCTATAAACGGCTTCAAGACTTGATTTATAAGCCGCATGAACATGCTCGGGGCATTGGTTAATCCAAATGGCATAACCAACCATTCGTATAACCCAAACTTTGTTTTGAACACTGTCTTCCAGTCGTCTCCTTCAAAGATTCGAATTTGATGATACCCACTCCTAAGATCAATTTTTGAAAAGATCTTGGAGCCATGCAACTCGTCCAACATGTCTTCCAAACGGGGAATCGGGTACCGGTACTTGATAGTGATCTTGTTGTGAGACTGACTATCACAACACATACGCCACCCTCCATTCTTCTCTGGTACCAAAAGTGCCGGGACAGCGCACGGGCTAAGGCTTTCTCTCACGAAGCCCTTAACTAACAACTCATCAACTTGACGTTGAATTTCCTTCGTTTCTTCGGGGTTCATTCGGTATGCTGGTTTGTTGGGTAGGGCAGCCCCCAGGATGAGGTCGATTTTGTGTTGGATGTCTCGTTTAGGAGGGAGACCGTGGGGGACATCTTCGGGGAACACTTCAGCATATTCTTCAAGGAGACTGAGGTCTTTAACTTTATGTAATTCATGTTGCTCAGCTTGTAGGATGGTGTAGATAAGTACGGGAGGAGGTTGTTGTTGCTGTTTGGCCGTGGGTGAAGTGGGGGGAGGGAGAGGTGTTAAGGTGATCTTCATTTTATTCATTGAGAACGAATAAGTGTTGGCGTACCGTCATGCTGCACACGGTGATCAAAGAGCCACGGGCGTCCCAAACGTATGTGGCATGCATCCATAGGAATGATATCACACCATACGTCGTCCTTGTACAATTTGCCAATACTCAAAGAGATGAGACTTTGCGTATCAACACGTAAGCCCTTGCCATGATTCAACCAATGAATCGTGTAAGGCTTATGATGTGGAGAGGTCTTCAAACGCAGCTTGTCCACCATGGTTTTGGACGCCACGTTGGTGCAACTTCCACTATCAATGATAAGCGAACACACCTTCTTTTGGACCGTACAACGTGTGTGAAATATGTTTTCACGTTGAACTTATTCTTCGGGGTATGTTATAGCACTCAAAGTCCTTCGAATGACCAAGAGTTCTCCTTCATCGGGGCCAACATACTCGTCTTGTTCTTCAACTTTTCCAACTTCTTCTTCAACCCAAGTTGGGTCAAAGTCTTCTTCGTCACACTCAACAATGGCCATCACCTTCTTATTAGGACATTCATTGGCATAATGACCTCGTCCTTGACACCGAAAGCAAACGGGTGCTTTCTTGGTGGGATCAGCCCAGGGTGTGAAAGTGGTTGAGGGGTTTATTGAGGTAGATGGGGTGGAGGGGGAGGAGTTTGGGCCGTGGGCAGTAGTGGGGGTTTTGGGGGTAGTATAAGGTAATTTTGGTGAAGGGTAAGGTGGTTTAGAAGTGGAGGAGTAGGGCCGTGTGGAGGGGGTGTTATTTTTCGAGAAAAAAGCCTTGGATTTCTTATGTTTAGCTTCAACTTTGAGGGCCAACTTCGTGAGTTCTTCTAGAGATTCGTAACTTTGCAACTCCACCGTATTGGCTATTTGTAGGTTTAAGCCAAATAGGTAACAAACAAAGGTTTGTTCGTCGTCTTCTTGCAAGTCACATCTTAACAAGAGCTCTTCAAACTCTCGGTTGCATTCTTCAATGGACTTAGAACCCTGCCTAAGCGTTTGAAGCTTAGCAAAATTCTCACGAACATATTCAGCGGGTAAAAACTTCTTCTTTAGAAGGGACCTCATCTTTGCCCACGTGGACACCGGTTATTTGTCGTTTCTTCTCCTTTTGGTGCACGTATTAGTCCACCAAGTCGAGGCATACTTCCAGAACTTCAAGGCTACTATTTTGACCTTCTTTTCGTTGGAAACATCTTTGAAGTCAAAGACGCATTCCACCGTTTCCAGCCACTCGAGGAACTCGTCCGGGTCGTTCTTCCCTTCGAAAGTTGGAATGTCAACTTTGAATTCAGAACCTTCATTGGTTTTAGGCTTCACGGTTCCACTAGAACTAGTGTCTTCTTCACGATCACTTCCTTGTAGCTCGTTGAGTTTCATCTTCGTAAGCTTGGCTACCTCTTTAGCCAAGTACTCTACTTGGGCTTTCAAGGCTGCATTGGAGGCAATGAGCTCTTCATGGGACATAATTTGGGATTCATTTGACATGGTGGAAGTGGGGAGAGGGTGAGAGGGGTGTGGATTCTGGCCGTGGATTTGGATGATGAAAAGGGAGGGAGTTTGAGCTTGAACAACTTACTTTTAGAGGCGTGTGAATGGTCCTTAAGGGATGTGCAACACAATGCTCTGATACCAAATGTTAGGCTCAACTTCAAGTGGAAATGGAGGAGAGGATAAGGGCTGTTTTATGGGTGCTTTGGGCTGGTACGTGTGGGATAGGAGAGGGGGAAGTTTTAAGGTGATTTTGGTTAAGGGAGGAGAAGGGAAAGTGAGAATGGGAAGGGTTTTTGAGGTGGTGGCCGAAATAGAGTAGAGGGGAGGAAATATATATTTAGTTGTTTTCTTGGAGGAGGATAAACCAAGTAGGTGTTAAGAGATATTACACACTCTTATCTTTTACTTGGGGTTGAATCTAGTATTCAAATAAGATATTACACACTTATTTAAATAACTAGAACCTATAACTCACACCTTAGAGAACCACTCTTAAGATATAGAAATAGGAATTTAAAATAGAACACACTGATATATTCGGGGTCACCGCATCCAAGCTGCGAGACATATTTCAAATGTTCAAGCAAACGAAGGAAGCCATGGCTGAGGACTTTGCTCCTTTTTGGGTGGAAACCAGCCTTGGACTACAAGGCCCAGCCATAACCCCTTGGAGCCCCCATTTCCCATCTAAAATTGAACAGCCCCTCTCCAAAAACCATGTCCCAAAATATCCAAAAAAACCAGCCCAAATATAACTCCATCTTCATTCCCATAATTCCACTTTTCCGTCACCAGCATACACCCATCACCTTCTATCAGTATGTCTAAGTTGGATAATCGATTGTCAGGTGTTTCAGTTTCTTAGGAGAATTCCTTAGAGCTTCAGGAGGGGTTGTTAATCAATTGATAGAAGGGGACAATCGATTGTTCAAGACTGTAGGATTTTAGGAGGAAGCGATAATCGACTGTTTGGAAATGATAATCGAATATAGTGGACTACAGGTGTTTCAACGGAGGGCTGATAATCGATTGTCTGAAAGGGTAATCGATTATTTGGCAGAATTCTGGGCAGGAAGAAGGGTGTTTTTGTGGAGGAATGGATTGGAAATATATGGGGATGATGAAGGTTCTTTTGGTATTTTTAATATAGGCAAAGAAAGCAGATTAAGGATAGAAATGGTGGGAAGAGAAATGGATAGAAAGTAATGATGGATAAACCAAGTTGGTGCTTAAGAGATATTACACACTCTTATCCTAATTGGGGTTTGAATCTAAAATTTAATTAAGATATGACACACTTAATCAAATATCTAGAACCTAAAACTCACACTTAAGATAACCACTCTTAAGATATAGAATTAGGAATTTGGCTAAAATAGCATCACACTATTTTAATAATACTCAAAGAGTAAAAGATTTTAATATTCAAAAGGTTGTGTTACAATGGCCATAAGGCCTGAGTTATATAGGCAGGGGAAGGGGGAAATAATACATAATGCAATGAATGTGAACATGAGGAAGCTTCCTAGCAACATCCTCTCTCAAAGCATGGGGCATTCTTCATTCAAACNCTGGTGTTGTGGGGGTTTGTGTTTTGGTTCCTTGTGGTTGTTTCCTGGGTTTTTTGTGGCTATTATTTAGATAAAAATGGGGATTGTTTTTTGCTAATAAAAGGGGGCAGGGATGGGGGATATAATGTGTGGTTTTGGACTTATAGGTTTGGGTTATTTGCAAGGGAACATGGGCAGGAAATATGGCTGGTGGTGGGTCATGGTTTTTGGCTCTTTGTTGATGTTGTGTTTGGATTGTGAGGGATATTTGGCCATGGATTTAGAGGAAGGGAGAGAAGGTTTTATTTGTTTATTAAAAGGCTTAAAAGAAGGAAAATAACAACAACAAAAGGTTTTGGTTTACACACTCTGACAATCATAGTTTTTCGGGTAGTAAACCTTCCCAATAAAGGGTTAGTTTTCTCTCCGAGTGTCGTATCTCTCGAGGAGTGGACGAAGGGAATCAGTTTAATTACTCTAATTAGGCGAAGATTAGGATTGGTTTATAAAAGTCTTCTCGGAACGAATAAAAAGAGCGGAGTAAAAATAATAAATAAATTTTACATAGTATAAGTGCAGATCTGGACCTAGGGTCAGGACATCATTTGGATTTATTTTATCATATTAAATTAACAATTGGAATAATAATATTTCTATTACTACTCATCCATTTCTAGATTTGTACTTAATCCGTTGCACTTGAATATCATAGCAATTTGGCATACAATATTTTCTCAATAAATAGCTAATTAAATCTTTCGAAAATAATTAACTAAATAAGGCAAGAACAATAGATTAACCATTCCAACATTAATTTAACATAAAAAATAAGCAACAAAACTAGTCCGGACCCAAGAGATCCGGACCTTAACTCATACTATGCAAACATAAATTAAAACAGCATTTTATTAAATAAAGATAACTTACAACTTCCGTAAAAGCGGAACAGAATAGAACGGGAGCAGAATTTCTCCAAAAATTATTCTAAAACTACTAGAATGCTAAACTAATATTAGGAACTGGAATATAAAGCTCAATTTCCGAGAAAGGGAGTGATGGTGATGTGTTGAATGGGGAGAATCGCGCTGTATTTATAGGACAGAGGCCGAGGGGTCCAAGTTGAAGTGTCCAAGTCCAGGCGTCTAGATCGGGAAGCTTGAGCTGCTCCGGCCAACAAGGTTTTGCCACGTGTCTTTCTTGGTCTGCAATCCAGCCAAGGCGTCCAACTCCCAAGCGCCCAACTTGGCCAAGCGTCCAAGTTGGACGCCTTAGGGCCTTCCTTTGTTGGGCTTCGCGGCTGGTTCGTGATTTCGGCCCAATTTCGCTCCGTTTTGGCCCCAAACATTGTTTTTGACCTCCCGGAAGCTCGTTCAAGCCCGAATCTTGATCCTTTGATGATTGATTCCCTTTTTCTCAAGTATTTCAACATAAAATGGATGATTTATGCTGATTTTATGTGGAATCCTTTTTTATGACTCTTAGAATGAAAATGAGAGTTTTATTCATCGAAATCACATTTAATAAGATGATTAAATATTATTTACGTGCAATAACGTCTAGAATATGATGTAAATGATAAGAATGAAACGAACTTATCAAATTCCTCACACTTAAACGTTGCTTTCACTCAAGCAACAAATTGAATAACTACAAGTATAAAGACAAATCAATAATTGCAGAGGGAAAGTTTAAGCTAGATATTATGAAGAAAAGAAGGAATAAGATAGTCATCAATCTTTTTGTTAAGAAGAAATGAATCTTTAGATTCTCACCCATATTGTTAGAAATGTAAAAGAATTTTGTCAAACCAATACTTTTACACCAACCTAAACAACCAAAATTTTCCAAACTTTCCTTGGGATAACTACGTTTATAAGAGTATTTTAAAGATCAAATAATTTTTTAATGGCTAAATTGGAAAACATGTTCTTGAAAAAGTATTTGTCCAAGTGTAAGGGTTTAATTTTCTTTGGCATAACTTTGTCATGTTGACCCGAGAAAAATTTATAACCTCATCCCGTGACATAGAACCACGAGCTTTTTGGATATTCACTCTGGGAAGTCTCATCACACGACATAGAACCGCATGCTTTTTGACTCTAACACTCAAAAGGCCTCATCACGCAATATAGAACCACGTGCTTTTCGGCATACTCACCACGCCTCATCAGTGGACCTAGAACCAACTGCTTTTTGGCTAAAACAAGAATCTCAGTCGCGCGTCTCACCAAAGTATACTTTGAAACATCACCCCTTATACTTTGAAAATAACTCTCTTTGAGAAACAACTAATACTCAAAAGAGCATCAGCAAAAAGATTTTCAATAAAGCACTTAAAAATTAATTGATCAAAAAAACTCTAAATAAATTGTGAATTTATCCCAAATCATTTTAGAAAACATTCCCAAAAGGTTAGAGTAAAAATAAAAGTTTGAAAAAATTTTAAAAATTTCCAATTTCCACGAGTGATAACTAAAGATTAATTAATCAAACAAATAAAATTGATGACTATTTTATAAAATCTTTTCCTAACAATATATAGACAAAACAATTCCTAAAAAGATCATTTCAACCACGAGCTCTTACCTCCTCACACTTAAACGGAACCATGCCCTCGTGGTTAAAAGTGTTTCAGAATTAGAGTTAATGGTTGAAATGTCCACATGCAATCACTAAGCTAACTCAATACTCAAAAGATTCAATGATGAAGATTGAAATAATAGATAACCATAACATGTAAATATGAAATAATGCATAAAATTTTCTCAAAATGGGTTTAAGAGTCATAATGTGAAATTCCAAAATAAAAATCAATCAAGGTAATGGGCTCTATTTCCTCCAGAACAGGTTCCTCTAGAGGGGTGTCTTTAACACAATTAAGGAGATAGTGTTTATTGCCATAGGCAAAAATTCCTCTTCCTTCTTTTCTTGAATAAGCATAGGTGGTTCTGAGTCAGGTCCCTCAGTTGGTTCCACCTGTTGTATCCCCAAGAGCTACAGTTGATTCGCAAACACTCAAACAAATAAATGGAATAATGTCCAAATGTCATAATCCTTTTTGGAATGAATTCATCATCCCTAAACCCTACTACCCAACTTTGATACACCTCCCTCCTTTTCCTTAAACCTGGCCGAACCATAAGGGCACAAAAACCAGCCATTCTCAATGTCAAAAGACAACCAACATTAGGGACCACTTGTCCCCTAGCTTACCCACCATATATTCCCTACATTAAAAGCCAAACACACATAAAATATTCACACCCTTGACCTTTCTTTTATCTGGCCGAATGCAACCCTTCACCCACCATATATTTCCCCACACAACCCACCAAATATTCCTCACATCAAACACTCCTCTTTGTTTCCCTAATATGGCCGAACCAATCTCACTCAAACTTCATCAAAAAAATCATCTCTAAATCATAATATTCCTACACTCCCTTTTGTCCCTCAACAAGGCCGAAAACATCAAAGCCAAAATTCCCCATTATCTCTGGTTTTTCATTCCAAAAAAGATGTGATCAGTTGGGAATTATTCTAGATATTTGTTTAAG